ACAAGAGATAAAATTCATTCTTCCTCCTGAAATTGAGACTGGAATTGTCTTTGGGAAGAAATCCTGAGAAGAATCTGAATTTATTTATCTTGTGTTGAAGACTCTAGAAGAACTGAATCAAGAGAGTGTAGTTGTTAGGTCTCGCTTTGATAATCAAGAGAACATGTTCAAAGAACAAGCTCAGACTAACATGAATATTGAAGGATTGCTTCAAGTTATTTTGTCAAGACTTCTACCTTAACCTAGAAACCAAACAAATTTAATGTTGATTTCTATTTTTGTTTATGTATCTTTATCTTTTTTAGTTAAATGAAAATTCCTTTGTTTATCTTTATCTTTATCTTTTTTATTGATGACAAAGAGGGAGAAGAGTAGATATGATTTTGATATATTTATTTCCCTTCTAATCCCAAAAATCTAACTCTAACTTTGATATTTCTTTATGACATTTGACTCTGATAACTAAGAAGATCCTCTTTAGTTAACCAAGCTATCCAGATTTTAGCTTTATAATTAACCAGACTATCCAGAAAGAAGAAACTGAGATATGGTTTTGAATCAAGCTATGATACAACAAAGCTTCTAACTAGGCTATGATACAAGAACTCAAAAACTTCTAATCAAGTTGTGATACAAGGAATATGCTTCATCAAGATCTGATTAAACCAAGCATAAAAGTTTACCCAAGACTCTAATACAAGACAGATTCTTGATAACTAGACTTTCTGATACAACACATTCTGATACATGAAGTAAAGGAAGTTCAAATCAGAAGAAATTTCAACCAGGCCTTCTCGTACAAGGAAGTTATTACTTTAATGCTAATTGGAATTTTTTATATATTAAAATTATTTTAAGTCTTCAACTCAGGTGGAGCTTCCAAGCCTAACTCTAAAGATTTAAGTTGAGAAATATTTTTTAACAGTATAAAACTCAGGGGGAGCTTATGAACCTCACTCTGATATGTCTTTATGTGATTAAATCAAGTATAAATTATTCATCAAAATATATGGTTTTGTCATCATCAAAAAGAGGGAGATTATAAGAACAAGATTTGGTTTTACATCTGACATTATATTTTGTTAAGTGTGAAGATACTAGATATAATTTCTGACTCTAAAGAAGTGACATGTGACGTTATCAGACTCTGAACCTAGTGCATTCTGATTCTGAGATGTGTGTTCTACAAGATAGTCAGGCTCTGGACTACTATACTCAACGCTTATGAACATTGCTCATCCAAAGCTTTATGGATCTGACAAAAGAAGACTCTGACATTGTCAAGCTCTGAAGTCTTGCACTCAACAACTTTGATGAATTATGTCACCAGACTCTAAAGACCAGGTCTTGATGAACTCGATCAAGACTCTAAAGACCAAGTTTCTGAAGACTCTCTCATACAAACTCTGATTCTTCTTTTATGCATGATTCATCAACTCTCTATATGAAGCCCCTGAATATTTGAAGATAAGATCAAAAATGTTTTACGTGAGAAATATAATATACAATACAAGATCAAATATCCTTTCTATTACACTGATTTTGTGGGAAAAGACTATATTTTTATACCATTATGTCTCCCATTTTCACAGACCGTTATGCAAGGATACAACTACATTTGTGTGTTCCATTTCTACCCTCCAACAGATCCTTTCATCGCCTATAAAAAGGAGACTTGGAAGAACGGAACAGTGCAAACATCAAGAAAATATCATTTACGTGAACATTGCATACTGTGAATATTTTTTAGAGAAAGAGAAACGTACACACAAGGAACTTTTGTTTATACTCTTCATAGAAAATATTTTGTGGGAAATACTTTGTAATTCATTTGTGTATTATGCTTTTTTAGAAGCATCTTGTAACACACTTTATATCTTAATCTTTGTGATTGTATTTCCTTAAATGACTAGGGTATAGTCAGAATTACTCAAGAAGATTTTATAGTTAGTCTTTGTGGTTATAATCAAGTTTGGTTATAGTAAATTAAGTCCCTGTAATAAGGCGAAATCACCTTGGCGGGTGGAGTGGAGGTAGCTTAGTTAACGCTGAACCAGGATAAAAATAATTGTGTTCATTATTTTTGTTCTTAATTTTCTCCTTGTTGTCATGGGTAGCAAAATATTTTCATTCTAGAAACCCAATTTAGACTCCTCATTTCTTTTGTTTCAATTACCTTCAAGTTTTACACAGGCCTCATAGTGGGCGCTATTGTACTTGTCAAAAAGTACATGTGCGCATGGTATTCTAACACACAAGTAAGGGATACTCATAGGCCTTTGTAGTTTTATGACAGGCAGGACTTGCATGTGGCAGTGGAAGACCTTATTTGGTGATTACAACGTTTATGGTAGTATGAGAGGGCCAACTCACGTAAGGTGAGAGGCTCTGTGTATAAGAATTTTGTTGGGTCAATTGTATCATGTCTTCCTCCTGTTAGGGGATAAGTATTTAATATTTATAGAGGCCCTTAGGCCTAAGGTTTTTTTGGGAATGATAACTCTCACTAGTAAATGATGGAACGTTTAATCCTTACTTTCTAGGATGACATGGATCAATTATTGACTCTGACTTCACTATGAATAAGAAACATCTCTCTCTCTCTCTCTCTCTCTCTCTCTCTCTCTCTCTCTCTGTTGTTTTCTGTTACTGGGCGATTGAGAGATACTCAGGGCGAGGCGATTACCCCTAGGGGTGGCATATGGTCATTGCCCCTTCTGAGGACTGCAACCCTCCCGCTTTTGCTAGACATTTTACAAATATAACACGACAATATTTAATGATATTATGGTACTCTGTCGATGACATATATTGGTCTAGTTTATCAATAAGAATAGCTAGGAGAAAATTATGAGCATATGTTGACAAAAAAAACTACTTTTATAATGTAGTCTTGTTAAATGTTACTTACATGTTTTGTACACTTTTGTTAAAAAAAGCACTCACTAGAATATGTTGAATTTTAGAAAAGATGATGTCCTTGCTAGTAAGTCAGAAGAGATATCCCATATAATACGATAGACAACCATCAACATCATTGACAATTTAAATAAAATTCATTAAATACTTTTTAAACGAAGACTTGTGAACTAGAATGTCAATCACAATTAATGTGAGTTAGAGATTCAACTTATGTCCCAACACGAGTTTCATAGAATTTGATGAAGATATTTATTTAATTTATGATAATAATATAATGGCTAAATTACACTTTTGGTCCACGGTTTTGTTTGATTTAGGAAATTAGTCAATCTATTTTAAACTCAAACTATTTTGGTTCCTCTAATTTAAATTCAAAAAGTTTAGTCCATCATTTACATTTTTTTAATTTAAAAAACGATGAATTGGTCGTTTTTTAACATATATTTTTATTTATAAAGTTTAACAATATATTTATATATAATGATTTGTCATGTTTCACAAATACTTGTTATTTAAAAAAAAAATGAAAACTTCGTGAATTTTAAAGAGAGAAACAAAAACCTGTTTAAATTTAAAATAAAAAAATTAATTTTATATTAAATCAAATAAAATAAGGACAAAAATTCTAATTAAATTTAATAAAATATAACATTTATTCTTATTTTATCAACCACACCAATTGATGCCTAAAAGAGAGAATATTTAGATACATAATATGTAAGTTGGATAACATTTTACCATTTGAATCAAATATACATAAGTTGTATAAATATCACATTGTAAGAGTTTTCTGATAAATAGAGTATAAAATTCAAAATTGATTGTTTAAATAATACCTATTAGGATGATGTTAGAGTTGAAAATAATTTTTTTGAATTCCGTATATTAAAATATTGTTGACCTCTCCACAAATATTCTTATTTATAAAACTTTCAGTTCCTTATTTGAATATGAAATTCACCGAAAAACTAAAACATCATCAATTTAATTTTAGAAAAATAAAATTTTAACATATGTCACCAATATAATTCTGTTTCATGAAAAACAAGCTTTTCGGTGGGACCTTCAACGTGATACTGAAGGCCAGCTTTCCTAATCATGACATAAAACCTCACCTTGAGTTTTTGTTTTTATATAAAAATAAAATCAAAATAACCATTCTCTTTCTTCTAACCTTTATTCTTTCTTTTCTTATTATAAATAATAAATAAATTAATAAATAAAAGTAAAAATTCTCTTTACCCAATGCAACAACAATTTGAAATTATTGAACTTGAAGCAAGAAAAAGCCGGAGTACAGTACTGACTCTTTCGTTTTTAATTTCAAATTAATTTTTTTCGTAAAAAAATAGGTTTAATTTCATACTGACGCACCTTGTCTTCTTTATAACGGTCGGATGATCCGAAAAACGGCCTATATTCACGCCGTTAACCTCCCAATCACAGTCAATTACCGTCACTTTAATTTTCAAACGCCCCGTAACGGACTGTAACGGACTTTAAATTTCAATTTTTAACCTTTTTAAAATCATTTCCATGTACACACGTCATTTTTTTTCTTTCTTTTTTCAGCTCCTAAAAGAGACGCTGTGCTCTTTCTTCACCACACACAAACAAACTTTCTCTATAGTAACCATTTAAAAAACTTAACAAATTAAAAAAAGTGCTTCTCTAGTGCTTTTGCAGTGAAGTGCAATTTATAGTGTTTTTAAGTCTTTGACTTGAAGTTTTCTTTTTCACGTGAAATTCTGTTTTGAAATAGAACACTCTAGAATCGATTAATTGAAAAGCCGGCACTATCACTGTAAGTTTCGATTTCGATTTTTGATTTTTTATTTTCGATTTTCAGTTTTCAGTTCCACATTGTTCTCTGTAACCGCTTCTTCTTTCTTTTTCGATCCGCCAATTTTTTCAATCATCGCATTCACTCTTCTGTTGTAGATCGTACACCGAATTTGTTGTTGTTTTTATTATCATTATCGGGAAATTTTACTGCGATTAATTTAATTTGTTTAGGTTTCATTTTCGTTTTCACCGATTAGGATTTGATTTGGTTGAGATTGGAACTTGGAACTGTAATGGAGATTCACCAGAAAAGAGGTGGTGGATTGGTGCCGCTATCGCCGTCGCAGACGCCGCGTTCAACTGATAAGCCGGCGCGAGATCTGCGATCTGCTGATTCGAATTCGAGTAGTTATAGTAAGTATGATAAAGAGAAAGGAGTCAATGTTCAGGTTCTGGTTCGGTGCAGGTGAGTTTGACTCGAATTGACTCGGTACTGAGTTGATGATTGAGTTTGTTTTTGTTTGTTTGTTTGTTGCTGGTTTTGAGCTATGGTGATTGGTTTTGTTTTGTAGGCCGATGAATGAAGATGAAATTCGGCTCCATACGCCTGTTGTGATTTCGTGTAATGAGGGGAGAAGAGAAGTTGCGGCTGTACAGAGTATAGCTAATAAGCAGATCGATAGAACCTTCGTATTTGACAAGGTTTTTATACATTTTGACATGAATTGAATTGCATATTTAAAATGATAGATAGTTTATTTGATGTTGTTTTCATATTGCTATCTGCATTATGCATAAGAAAAAATATGTTTCCAAATTGAGCCATTTTTTAGCTTGTGAAAAGGATATTTAGGAAAGAGAATTTTACTAATTCTGCATTCAGATTTCCAGATAAGAAAGTGGCAATCAACATTGAATTTTGAGTATGAAGTTCATTAATTATTATGAAATATATTTTGTAGCAACTCTCTTATGTATTTGGTTTTTATTGGTCTAGGTGTTTGGCCCTACCTCTCAACAGAAAGAACTGTATGATCAGGCAGTGTCTCCTATTGTGTATGAAGTGCTTGAAGGCTATAACTGTACAATTTTTGCATATGGACAGACAGGAACAGGGAAGACATACACAATGGAAGGAGGTGCAATAAAGAAGGTAATTCATGCAATGCCTGCTTCTCTCTCTGTGATTATAGTTTAAAATTCTTGATATTTTCTCATGGTTCTCCGGTAAAAATAAAAATGCATTTGTATGTACTTGATTTCGTAGAATGGTGAATTTCCAAGTGATGCTGGTGTCATTCCAAGAGCTGTGAAGCAGATTTTTGATATATTAGAAGCTCAGAGTGCTGAATACAGCATGAAAGTAACATTTTTGGAGCTTTACAATGAGGAAATAAGTGATCTTTTGGCCCCTGAGGAGACTACAAAATTTGTAGATGAGAAGTCTAAGAAACCCATTGCTTTAATGGAAGATGGGAAAGGGGGTGTTCTTGTCAGAGGATTAGAGGAAGAGATTGTTTGCACTGCCAATGAAATTTACAAGATATTGGAGAAAGGTTCTGCAAAAAGGCGTACTGCCGAGACTCTTCTGAACAAGCAAAGTAGCCGTTCTCACTCCATATTTTCTATTACAATTCATATTAAGGAATGTACTCCGGAAGGTGAAGAAATGATTAAATGTGGAAAGTTAAATCTTGTGGACCTTGCGGGCTCTGAGAACATTTCACGTTCTGGTGCTAGAGAGGTACAGATTATTAGCTGAATTTGAGTTAACACATGCTTTTCAAAGATATTATTTAGAATAATTTAGAAACCTGATTGTTATGCGCTTGTGTTATGGAAGATTACTTATTTAGAGTGTAAAAATATTGTTGTCGATTGACTATTTTGGAAAGTATTCACACATCAAAAATTTAATTACCATCTTAAAAGAGAATGTCTCTTAGCTTTAGAGTTTCATGCTTTTCCTCTAAGCTGTTCATTATTTTTTTGGCTGGCATTATCTGAATATCCATCTTAAAAGAGAATGTCTCTTAGCTTTAGAGTTTCACTAAAAAAAGTACTTGCAGGGTCGAGCAAGAGAGGCTGGGGAGATAAATAAAAGCTTGCTTACCCTTGGTCGGGTGATCAATGCTCTAGTTGAGCACTCAGGTCATGTTCCATATAGGTATAAGCTGTTGCAACTTATCTAGTTAATTCTCATTGACATTGTTCCGTTGTTTTTAAATTTGGAGAATGATTTTTATATTAAACATATGTCTTATTCTACCAGAGATAGCAAGTTAACCAGGTTGTTGAGGGATTCTTTGGGTGGTAAGACCAAGACATGCATTATTGCCACAGTATCACCTTCCATTCACTGTCTTGAAGAAACACTCAGTACCTTAGATTATGCACACCGAGCTAAAAATATCAAGAACAAACCCGAGGTCACTTTCACGTTCGCTCCCCTTTGGTTAATCTTTCACTCTTTTTACCAATCAGCAAAGCATATCTAATATGAAGCTTGTTTTTTCAGGTTAATCAGAAAATGATGAAATCTGCAATGATTAAAGATTTGTATTCTGAAATTGACAGACTAAAGCAAGGTTGCTAACAGTTCCCTTATTAATTAAGTTCTGCAACTCACTGTTTTTCCTTATGTTTTTTTTCCCTCTAAATAGAATAAAAACTGTAGGTTGGTCAACTTGTTTCCCTCCCTCCTTTTACCATTCAGTGCTGAAATCTGTTATTTTCATTTATGCAGAGGTGTATGCTGCCAGAGAGAAAAATGGAATCTATATTCCGCGCGATCGTTATCTTCACGAAGAAGCTGAGAAGAAGGTTTCCTTCTAAGTGTTTTAACTGTTTTATATGAATTTCAAAATACTGTTATAATTTTGAAATCATTGCTAATCCTAAATTTTTACAATGTTAATCTAGGCCATGACTGAAAAGATAGAACGAATGGAACTAGATGCAGACTCAAAGGACAAGGTATGTTCTTAATTATTCTGGGTATCGATTATGATTGTTTAATGTTTAGCTATTGAAACAAAAATATGCCATGATATGTATGCAGAACCTGGTGGAACTTCAAGAACTCTACAATTCTCAGCAACTTTTGACTGCTGAATTAAGCGGGAAACTTGAAAAAACTGAGGTAAGGATTGCTGTGCGAAGAGTCACTTCATTCTTTTGTCTAGACTTCTTATATGGTCAAGAATAAGACCTAAATTCTTGTATCTGTATTCTCAGAGTAGTCTAGAAGAAACTGAACAGACATTGTTTGATCTTGAGGAAAGGCACAAACAAGCAAATGCAACAATTAAGGAAAAGGAATTCTTGATATCAAATCTCCTAAAATCTGGTTAGTCATTTGTTTATTCCCTTTCTCGGGATTGGTTGAATTCCATTAGTCTCATGTTGTAATAGTTATACTTCAGCTTTAGGTGACTGCGCAGGTAATACCTTATACTTCATTTTATTTACATTTTACCATTTGTCATGCCTTTTCTAGAGAAAGAACTGGTAGAACGTGCAATTGAACTACGAGCAGAGCTCGAGAATGCTGCGTCGGATGTGTCGAACCTGTTTTCCAAAATTGGTTAGTATAAATCTGGTGATTTTTTTATGGGGTCCCCAATTCGAAAATTTCCTGCCTACATCAGTCATAAATTTCCTTTTTCAACCTTAGAGCGGAAGGATAAAATTGAAGAAGGAAACAGGGTGCTTATCCAGAAATTCCAGTCCCAGTTAGCTCAGCAGCTTGAAGCTTTGCATAAGACAGTTTCAGCATCTGTAATGCATCAAGAGCAGCAACTGAAGGGTATGGAAGAAGATATGCAGTCTTTTGTATCAACAAAATCAGAGGTGGCTATTCCGATTGATACAGTTACGATTGCTATTTAAACTTCAATTTTCAGATTTACTGATTTCGATTTGATTTATGCTTCTGAAGGCTACTGAAGATCTTAGAATAAGGGTGGGAGAGTTGAAAAACATGTATGGTTCTGGGATTAAAGCTTTGGATAATCTAGCCGAGGAGCTTAAAGGAAATAATCAATTAACTTATGAAGACTTGAAATCTGAAGTAGCTAAGCATTCATCTGCCTTGGAGGATGTAAGTGTGGTCTGTTATCCTTAAAAGTCGATTTACTTGAACCTTTTTTCATGTTTAACTCAAATTATGTGCTTCAGCTTTTTAAAGAAATTGCCTTAGAAGCTGATTCGTTACTGAATGATCTTCAAAATAGTCTCCACAAGCAAGAGGCCAATTTAACTGCTTATGCTCATCAACAGCGAGAGGTCTGTATTTTTTGTTGGTTGACAGAACAGCTGTGATATTTTTTTGGCTGATTGAACTTATGAGATAGAATTTCTGAATTCTTTGCTATTGCATGCAGGCACATGTCAGAGCAGTCGAGACTACACGTACAGTATCTAAAATAACGATGAACTTTTTTGAGACAATAGACAGGCATGCATCAAGTTTGACCCAAATTGTGGAAGAAACACAGTTTGTTAATGATCAGAAATTGAGCGAGCTTGAAAAGAAGTTTGAGGTGACGGCAATGCTTTTTCTGAAAGACAAATCATATTTAAAAATGTTTTCACTTGTTTTCTTCTTCTAACTTTAATGTCTCATTCTTTACTCGGTGTAGGAGTGCACTGCTTATGAAGAAAAGCAACTGCTGGAGAAAGTGGCAGAAATGCTAGCAAGTTCAAATGCTAGAAAGAAAAAACTGGTAAGTTCTGTCTAAAACATGGCAATTTTAGCCAACTGCATTCAAATAAAATTAATGTGTTTTCGTACTTGTTAGGTTCAAATGGCCGTTAATGATCTTCGAGAAAGTGCAAACTGTAGAACCAGTAAATTGCAGCAAGAAGCATTAACCATGCAGGATTCCACTTCTTCTGTCAAGGCAGAATGGATGATTCACGTGGAAAAAACAGAAACCAACTATCATGAAGATACTTCTGCTGTGGAATCTGGAAAGAAAGACCTTGCAGAGGTTCTTCAAATCTGGTATGTATATTCTAGGACATTGTATTTTGTCTCTAGTAAATGTCTCTTCTGTTTACTGAATCCTGCTGAACAAACAACCACAGCCTCAACAAGGCAGAAGTAGGTTCACAACAATGGAGAAATGCTCAGGAGTCATTGCTAAGTTTAGAGAAGAGAAATGCTGCGTCTGTCGATACTATTGTTCGGTAAGTTTTGTAATGCCTATTATGCCTATTACGTAAGAAAAAATCAAAATACAACTCATTTTTTGTTCACTCTTTTCCCTATTGCTTTATGTGTAGGGGAGGAATGGAAGCTAATCAAGCTCTACGTGCCCGATTCTCGAGTGCTGTGTCAACTACAGTTGAAGATGCAGGAATAGCCAACAAGGATATTAACTCATCTATTGATCGTCAGTATCTGGAGCTACATATATGAATGATTATTGCATTAGCAGTTTTAGCCATAAATTTCAACTTACAAAAGTTAAAATACTTGCAGATTCATTGCAACTTGATCATGAAGCTTGTGGAAATTTAAATTCCATGATTACCCCATGCTGTGGTGACTTGAGAGAATTGAAGGGTGGTCATTACCACAGAATTGTGGAGATAACTGAGAATGCGGGGAAATGTCTTCTCAACGAATACACGGTAAGAGACTCCAAGCACAGTCCTCACCTGTTCAGCCAATACAATATTTGTTGTTTACTAGATTCTAATTTTGAATGTTGTTTGAATGCCTAGGTTGACGAACCATCTTGTTCAACACCAACAAGAAGACTCTTCAATTTACCAAGCGTTTCATCTATTGAAGAGCTAAGAACACCATCTTTTGAGGAACTTTTGAAGGCATTCTGGGATGCAAAATCTCAGAAACAAGCAAATGGAGATGTTAAACATATTGGTTCATATGAAGCTACTACTCCTACTCAATCAGTAAGAGATTCCAGAGTTCCTCTTACCGCTATTAATTAAAACACTATTAATTAAAGACCTCAAAATTCTGTAAATATCATATTTGTTCAGATGTAATTCCATAAAATTATATATTTATTTATTACAGTATTATTTTTGGGGGAAATAGAGGAAAAATGTTACCTTTTTATAGTTTAGTTTTGCTTCTGCAATATGATTTTGGCGAGTTTGCATTATAGTTTTTTTTATAAGCAAGATTCTGTTATAATTAATCATTCATATCCTAACTAACACATATTACTTACAGTGAAGTCTGAAAATAAGTTAAAATTAAAATGTAGCTTTTTTTTGTAAGCAAATTGTAAGAATTTTACAATGTACTAATGAGATATGTTTTGGTGGTACATGGGCAAGCACACCAGGAAAACAGATAAGGATCTATCTGAAAAAAGAAAAATGTGCATCAGTCGACATATGGAACCATGTTCTCCTCATGCTTGATCAAATTAAGTATTTTGCTTTGTTATCCTCTTAAACACAGGTGCTGGAGATGGGTGTGATACTTTACCATAAGTAAGAGACAGAGGGAGAATCCCAAACATGGCAAAAACTGATGGTACAACAGCCTGGTCACATGTGAAGAGATACTTCTCTTAGGTGTAGGGCAAAGGGACAAGTTTTGGAAGTGGATTGGGACAGATTAATAGGTCCCAGGTAAAGGCTGTCTGTGATAAAAAGCTGCAGCTTGGAATTGGAAGTACTTGTTACATTCAAAGATATATTTTTCTCTGTTTTAGTAATTGCTTTTAACATTACCATTGAATCATGTGGAAAACAAATGGAATCTATCATCTGATAAGGATTGGTGATATGTGATGATAGCATCAGTACCATATGGAATTGGACATGACCAGGACCACAAACTTGTAGACTTGCTGGCTTGTGTCATGGTCTGAATTACTTTCCACGAACTTAAATTTGACAACCACTTGTGAAAAATACTTAAAGATACTGTTGCAACTAGAGCTTAGAGAGCTTAAGATTACTAACCAAGAACTTGAATAAAATAAATAGTGAATCATTAAATTAGTTTCCAAAATTGTGAGTCTAGATCAAAATAATTTATGAATTTTATAAATTCATAGACTGTAAATACGTGCTTAAAATTGTAATTTCTATTAATTTTTACTGTTAGAGGTTATGGTGTAAGTGTTTAACATGCTAATGATATGTGGTCTCCTGGTGAATTTCAAGTTAATGACACATCACCATAAATTTTTTTATTTAAATGTATATGCTATAGATTAAAATAATGGTTTTAATATATGCATAATTTAGAGATGATTCTTTACAAATTTTCAAGAAAAACAAAAACAGTTTTATGTTTGTTTCAAAATGATTATCACTCTTGCATGCAAAATAATTATGTACAAAAAAAATTTCAATAAAGAATTTCTCTCATATTAAAAAAAAACAAAGACTAATCTTATAAAAGTAAACTTTGGCAGATATAACTTAAATAAAAAAAAATTATAATCTTAAACAAAATAACATATAATATTATATTATATTTTATATTTTAAATTAAAATATAAAAATAAAGTTATATTGTAAAGAACATAATAAGTTGAATTTTTTTTATAAACAATGTTATAAATTAAGGTTAAATAAGTTTTTTTTCACTCTAAATATAGCAAATTTCGTTTTTAGTTCCTCCAAAAATTTCCTTTAAGAAATCGTCTTTTCAAAATTTTCCGTCTAAACAATTAGTCTCTAACGTCAAATGCCACTAACAGATGCTTACGTGACAAGACAGGTGGATTAAATAATATACATTTTTTTATTTTTATGAACTACGGCTGTAAAGTGACACAATTTAAAGTTGAGTCATTATCATTTTAACCTAAATCACTCTTCCTCCAAGCCTCGTTCCTCTTTCTCTGCTTCTTTCCCCTCATCTTCGTCTAGCATCTCGTTCATCTTTGTCCAGCTACATCATAACATCCTTGTTTCTCATCTTGGTTCATCTTGTTACCTAACATAATGTCTTATGTCTCAGTAAAATCGCGAGTTGAAAAGTTCTGTGGGTGTCAGGTTCGTATAGTCTCGTATCAATGCAAGAATGGACCAAATAATTGAAGGCTGTTTTGGAGATGTCCTTATTGGAGGAATGTTGATATGTGTAATCTATTCATATGGGATGAAGACCTTGGAGCAAAATCTAGAAATGAAGATGGAACAACAATGAACTCAAAGTTGAAAGTTATGACATATATGGGATATGTGAAGACCTTGTATGAAGAACCAGGGAAGAAGAACAAGCATTTGAAAACCAAATTGAAAACAGAGAAATTTCATGAAAAATTAAAGATGTTGTGTTTTGCAATGTCTTTTATGATTAATGTGTATTTTGTTTTGAAATGTAGTTGAAGGTGACGAGAAACACAAGAAATGAGGGTTTGAAACGGGTTTCTAAAAACAAAAGCTTTCTCAAAACCAACTCAATTAAGCAAAGTACGAACAATAAAAATAACAAGTTATTTTTATATTGGTTCGTTATTAACGAAGCTACCTCCAGTCCACCATACAAGGTTATTTTTTTCTCAAGAAGAACTTAATCCACTATAGCCGAGACTGATTACAGACACCACAAAGACAAACTGTCTTTGTCTTCTTGAGTCTATCTGACTAAAACCTAGTCACTCAAGAAAACCACTCAAACAATAGAGATTTACAAGTTGTGTTTATAAAGAATGCTTCTAAGAAAGCAGATTAACACAAAATTAATACAATGAATATCTCATACAATAACGAGCAACAATTCTCTGTGTGTTTTATAAAGAATATACACATAAAATATTTACTTCAGCAAAACGTGTGTATGTTCAATAGCTTGAGCAATGCAATAGCAACTAGCATGAGCAACATCTTCCAATCGTCCAAGTCTTCTTTATGTAGGCAGATAAAATATCTGCTGGAGAGTAGAATTGAAATATCAGATAGCAGCTATCTCTATCATAACGGTTTGCAAATGGGAGGAAAAACCTTGGTTTCTTTGACTTGTGCGTTCAACATGGAGGACGAGGAAACTGTTAAGAACATGTTGTAATTATGTTCAAAATTTATTTTGCGCTGATTATTTTAGTGTACTCGGTTTATTTTTTCGAGCACTTGGGCGTCCGACTTTTATTTATTTGAGTTTCTTTTATTTCTATTTTTTGTCTAAATAGGTAGAATAAATAAATAAATAGAACTATTAGTTTTAATTTTAATTTTATTTTATTTTATTTAGTTTTAAATAATTATTTAAGTTGGGCTTTAAAATGGGCATTAGGTTAGAGTTAACCCTAGTTTGATACCTATATAAATGTAAGTTGTATTTGAGAAAAGGGGGAGAAAACTTCACCAACATCAGAAATCAAGACATGTTCTTCAATGTTTCAAACTCTTGTTGCAGGACATAGATGGACAAAGGGTATTCTACTACTGATCATGCTAAAAAAATCATCTAGAATCGCCATCAATAGGCTCTCTTCTAGACTCACCATTATCCACTCCAATGTTTAACCATTCATCTATGTCTTCATCAAAGTCATGCATTCTCTCTTCTTCACTGTATTCAAAGTGTATATCAGCCAAAGAGTCTTCAAATGATTCATTGTCCTCAACACTTTCATTTTCCGTAACACTTTCATGTCCTATTTATTTTTCTATTAACCTCTCCATATAAGTCTTCCCACCACTTGATAATCTTGGCTTTGTATATATATCAACATCACACTTACTCTTTTCAGCTCGCAAAGCTAATATTGTTGCATCCTCATCATTAACAGAGGCTTTTAGATCCTTTTCAAGACAACCATCTTCAGGCTTCCGCCACAATTTCACATCATCAATTTTAAAGGATGAGCTCACCCCCTTAATTATGTCACAGGCTTCAAAGAAGAACAAAAAATCAGAGTCTTACCCACTTAAAGCATAAAAATCTCCATCATGATACCTTAACCTTGCATCCTTTACAAATGAACCTTTGGTGTAAAATACGAATAACCCCATATCATGTACATTACAAATAAATACGAACGAGGGTAAATGAGACATTGCTTTCATAGTCAAAGACAAAACCCTAGATGTTTACAGTCAACACAACAAAACAAACATGAATTTCAAAGCAAGTATAGTACATAACAGACATACAATATTCGAAAACACAAACAAATCAGAATAAAGCCAAACATAACACACGATAGCACATGTGGGACTAACCTTAATGTTGGAACCGTGTTGCGGTTAGAATATAATATCAAATTGTTAATTAATTTGAATCACATCTTTAGTTCACAACCGCTCTTTGATTTATCCGAAGAAAAAGGTCAAAAGAGGGAAAACCTAATTTTGCATCGTAAAGACAATGCAAGGAGAGATCTAGGTAAGGGGTTGGTTAAGCTTAGGGAAGGTATTAGCACCCTAAACTTCTGTAGTACTCTACAGGAACCTTTTGTTTATTGTTTACTATTTTGCTTTAATTATTTGCTTGAGAGTATATTGCTAAGGGTTAAAAAAGTGACAGAAAGACCTAAGGGTTAGTCCTAAGTTTACTCGCCAAGACTCGCATCTTGTTCCTACGTATCCAAGGTAGGGGATGGAATCAGAGTAATCGTAGTTCCCCTCGAAAGGGAGGTTAGAAACTTCTTGATTGTGGTCAAGGTTTCAATGGGGAATAAGCGTTCTTAAGGAAGCACTTACGTGGAGTTCGGCTACTCCTATTTCTACGTTGAAATAGTTGAATTGAAAATTAGGGTTTAAAGAGGTATTCCACGACGAGAAACCCTAAAACGGAGTGCGGCGACTCCTTGACCTAATGCTAGGGTAAAGGGCATTCTTGTCCGCGGCGGAACACCTAGGCAAATTAGGGTTATTGACTCGGTGGTCAAACTACTGGACCTAATCCTTCGGAAGGTTTAATAGTGTAAATGATGAATTATTACATGGCAAGATTAAAACAGATGCAAATATGAAAACAGTAAGAAATGTGCGATGCGACGATCACTCGCGTAAAT